GCCGCAGCCTCAGACAGTGGGGTAAGGAGCTGTGCCACGCTCCTCACCAGAAGCCCCTGCACGGGGACACAGTGGGGATGCGGGGTTGCAGGAGAGACAGAGACGCAGCCAGTCCCCGTGGCGTGCATGCTGGGGAAACAAACGCTGCCCTGGACTTCTACCTCTGGGATTATCAGGATCAGCCCAACCCTGTTTATGCTGGTACCGGGGGCACACACGTCTCTGGCTGCTCTGGTGGCACCCAGCACCGCATCGCCCACGTCCCCTGTTCCCCTGGGCTGGGCATGTTGGCACAGCGTCCCCGTGGCCACAGCTCGCTCCTGGCCCATCGGAGTCCTGGAGCCAGTGTGACCCCGGTGCGAGGAGCACCGCGCTGCCGGGGTGTTGCTGGTGCTGGGACCGGTTAGGAAAAGGCTGGACCTGGCAACAGGAGGCACAGACTGGCCGGCTCGGGAGCATGCCACTGGGGGCTGCAGGGGAAATTTGCTCTCCTGTGTCCTCTGTGCCCCAGAGCTGAGCAAGGCACAAGGCTGCAGAGAGGCCAAGCTCTGCAGCTGAAAAGGTTTTAACATTCTAAAACTCATAGTATGTTTGCAGTAAGCGTAATAAAGCTCCTTCCGTCCCTCGCTGTTGGCAAGGACTGATCTCTGCCCAAGGCAGAGGCGCCGAGCTGCCAACCCACATTTCGTGCCTGCCTGTAAAAAAGCATGGAAAGCACCTCTTACCAGGCAGGAGGATCAGCACGGGGATGGCAAGGAGGCAGCACTGGCAGCGCTACCCTCCCTGCTCCGCTCGCAGCCGGCTTCTGGCTCTTCTGCAAGCTCCACAGGGACTGCCTGAGGGCGACAGGTCCAGGGGACTTCTCCCAGCTCTCAACCCCCACCACTGTGCTATGAAAACTCTGTACACGTTGCCTTCGAATTTGCCCTTCTCCCTTGGCGGCTACAAGAGGCTGCACAGCCCTGGACTTTGTCCCAACTGTGCTTGGGCTCCTGGCCCGGCTGAACCGTGCTGTCAGGCATAGGGGACCGCAGGATTGCGCCAGGGTCAAGCCATGGCATTTTGGTCAAGACCGGCTTGTTGGTATCTGCAGGAAAGCCATGGTCCTCTGTGCCCAGCAAGCACACAGGACAGACAGCTTAGTGGGCCATGTGCACAGACACATCCGCTCTAGGCTTTTGCAGCAGGCAGAGGTGCTGTGGGACAAGCTGAGCAGAAAGCGCCCATCTCCTCCTTCCCATCAGTGGCCTGGCACCTGTGCTTGGAGGAGCAGTGACAAGCACAAGAGGACACCAAAGGTCCTGCTGGCAGAGGTGGGGAGAGGCAGAGCAGAGGTGAGCGGGGAGCAGGGCAGCCCGTGACCCAGTGGGGCTCTGCACTGGTGATGGCAGGTACCACCAGACAGCTCGTGGAGGGTCCTGCAAGTGAGCAGGGAGCAACTTTTGGCACACGCATGCACATGGGAACAAGGCACAGGTGCACAGTGTTGCTGCTGTAGTCCTCTGTGGCCTGAAGACAAAGCCCCCAAAGGCTGTAAGAACTGCTTGGATGAAAAACACCCCGCATTCGGGAAAAAGTAGAGCTAAGATGTTTTGGCACAGCTCAACAAGGCCTGACCACCCCAAACCCTGACCACACCAGAGCGTGCTGCCTGCCCGTGATCCCGCAGCCCCTGCAGAGCTCGTCTCTGCCTTGGGGCGGGAGGGCTGGCACGTGCCAGATGGGCCCAGCTGGCTGCCAGGCATGCAGTGCAGCCCAGGGGACTTTTCTTTTTTTGGTCACTGGAGTGCAAACCCACAGCTGGTAGCTTCACCTGCTCACTATGCCGGTGGGTCAGGGCTCAGCTCTGGGGGAACCTTGTCGAGTGCTTTCATTTTAGCCCCTGTGTAACTGATGGTGGGTGACAGAGAGACAGGATGCTCACACCAGCAGCCCTCAGGCTGCTCCTGCACACTTCACCCAGACAGACAACATACTTAAGCACCACCTGATTCTGATATGACTTAGTCCATGCTTTCCAGGGTCTGAGTGCACTTGTAAACCTTAATGGCCATGACAAGGTTCACCAGAGACCAATCACTCCCATCCACGTGTCAGGAGCACTATTTAAGCTCAGTCCAGAGCCACCCCTACTCCCCACCTGGCTGTGGGTCCTCTTGATGAGGGTTATATGCATTTCTGGCTCAGTTGCAATCCTGGCTCATTACAGAGGTGCTTCATGGTTCCCTCCTGCCAAAGACAAGCAGTCCTCTATGAAAAACAGGCTGCTGGGACCAACAGAGTGGGAGAGCCAGCCTGCCTGGAGCACAGGGAGCTTGTGGTGGTTGTTGGCATAGCTGGGGCCTCTCACTGCAGGAAGTGCAGGTAAGGCTTGGCTCAGCTCCTGGGGCTGCCCAGCAGCCTGGGTGAGGGCTATTGCTAGCCAGGGCTGTGGGGAAGGGGCTTGCTCTGCAGTATGCTGTCAGCAGCACTGGTAATGTGCTGCCAAACAGGAATTGCTGTGGACACACTGTACCCCCTAGGAGACTGAAAATCCTGTGGAGGTGGTAAGCAGCTGCAAAGCTCTGCATAAGGACTTCAGGTGCAGGGTGCTGCTGGGAGCTGTTTCCCCAGTTAGCCACTCTCTTAGAGGTGGCATGGATGGACAAAACTCTCAGTTGCACTATCCTTTCCTGCTGGCACTGGGAGCCTGGTGCTTGCATCCTTGTTGGTTGAGATCTGGCCTCAGGGCAGCATTTAGATCAAGAGCAATAGGGAAGAGACACATTGCTTAGAAAGGTTGAGCTCTTCATAAACCTGAGCACAGACCTCAGTGAGTCCCCTCCAGGCAGACGTTACAGAGCAGGCTGTGCAGGGCATGCTCATGACAGCAACATGATCAGTGTATTTACAGCATACAAATACATGGGAAATTGCAGAGAAATCTCTGCAAAGCTACAGCTACCACATACACCATGGACTAACGCAACAGATGCCCAGCAAGGGCATGCCAATTCACAGTATCAGCCGTGAGATGCCGGATGAATGTGCTGAGCCCTCCCCAGGCTCTGCAGGGACTGTTTTTTCATGGGAGGTCAGTGCAGCTGCTTGGCCAGCTTGACAGTCCATCAGGAGGGCAAGACAGCACCAAATGTCCAAGTGCAGGCCCAGGAGCCTGCAGCACTGCTAGTGTTGAAGTGCTGGCTGGATAGATGGGGTCTAAAATGTGAGTTCAAGTCCCAGTATCTCCTCCCTGTGAACGCTGAGAAAACTGGGTATGTGCCTCCTCCTTTGGGAGGGCCCCAGCTGTCAATGGCTCCAGAGCGCAAAGAGGGCAGGCGCGCTGAGTGGGGACAGCCAGCAGTACTCCACCACACTGTACAGTGCGTAGCCCAGCAGCAAACCGAAGAGCACATCTGTCACATTGTGCCTGCCCAGCATGACCCTTGAAACGCCGACGATGAGAGCCCAGAGCACCACGAGGACCCGCAGTGGGACGGCGAGCACCAGGTGGTGCAGAACAAAGCGGCAGACCAGGGCAGCTCTGGTGGCATGGCCTGATGGAAAGGAGTACTTGTCCACTGAGATTGTGACGAACATGTCCATCTTGTTGTGGGTGGGCCGCCGCCGCTTGACGAGCCCTTTCACCACTGCCACCAGCACGAGATCCAGCAGCAATGCTACGAGACAGACAGTAACAATGAGTGAGCAAGAAAGGAAGGGATTCCCCTCCACGGAAAACAAGGCAAGAATCAAACCAAAGCCATTAGCTAAGAAAACAAGCACTTGGCTACCAAAACCTGCTAAGAGAAGGCAGTATTTCCCATGGCTACAATGCCTGGGTAGGGAGAGCATGCCACTCATCCAGTGCTTGGCCTTCTCCAACACAAGCACACCTTCAACCTCCACTCCTGCTGCATGCAGCCCTTGTGTACTGCCAGACCCTCTGCCTGCCACAGCCAGCAACAGGACTTGGCCTGGCTTGCACCCAAGAGCTCTTATTTCTGTGTAAAATCTGATCTCGCCATGACTCGGGGTTCAAATTGACCCTTAATCTGAAGGCAACAGAGGGGTTAATAGTCTTCATGGCTCCCTTCCTGACAGACTGTGCTGACTCAGCATTGCTTTGTCTACCCTCATGGCTGGGGGTCAAACTGACCCAGGTAAATTATCAAACTACTTCAACCACTCAGCCACGGCTCAGGGTGAGGGGCCCTGAGCTTGCGTGGCACTGCCAGGGCTCCTGCAATCTGGCTTCTCCCTGCTGCTGGGGGGATTAATTAGTCAGAAAATTAACCATGCTTTGGTTTTTCAAGAGCTGAATGAAGTATGATTTAAATGGTGCCAGCTAAAGCTTGCAGTAGAATTCAGAGGTGCCGCGCATGTGAGAAGCATTCAGCCAGTATTTGGCAAGAGCAGATTCTCATGTAGGCCAAAGGGTGCTTTCTCCATCCCTGCTAGCTCACCTAGCACTCCTGGCCAGGACTACTTCTTCAAAGGAAGTCTTGTGTAAGTGACTGATTTCTGCTTGTCCTAAGGCTTGTTTCTGGTTACCAAATCTTTCAGTCACTTCAGTTCATTCCCTTTGCTAATCATCTAAGAAAAAATATTTTTTTCCACATATAAACCTAATTCAATTGCTTTTTCTTTTTCCATATGGTTTGGAAGATTCAGCTTGAAAATTAAGGAAAACTCCTTCCCCATGTGGGTGCTGCAACCCTGGGACAGAGAAGTGGGTGGCTCTGGCCCGGAGCATTGAGGGCCAGACAAGGTCCTGGTGCTGGGACACCTCAGAGCAGAAGTTAGGTCAGGGGCCTCCAGGTCCCTTACCACAGCTCTGCTGTGAGACTATAATTTAACCATGTGCTGCTAGATGACAAAGGTGCACAAACCCATTCATTTCCCACCAAGCAAATTTAGATTCAAATGATAAGTGTGAGATACCAATTATCTGCAACTTAATAAAAGTGTAAGAACTAGGAATCTGAAAAGATTTGATGCTGTGGAGCTACTACAGTTTCTAAATGAGCAAAAATTAAGAATCTAAGTATACCTAACAGTACATGATCCTGGGGGTGATAGTGGTGGAATTTCATACCACAGAAAATTAAAATGCGTGTTTTAAAACAAGTTTCCTCACTGGCTGATATGGATCTATCCATACAGATGTTGCCTGTGGGGAGCCCAAGGCTGCAGATGTCTGTGTGCCAGAGCAGCTTTTCAGGGAAATGGCTGGTGTCTCAACACTAGTAAGCTGCACCTGGAATGTGCTTTTCTGATAAGCTGAAGAACTAAAAGAGAGTTTAGCCTCCCTGAAAGTTTTGTGCAACTGCAGGAGCAGTTAGCTGTCAGGAGTTTCACAGCGTGGCTGGAGCTGTGACAGATGAGCCATACCCATACCACCACACCCTCCAGCTGCAGGGTTGCTTGCTCTCGTGCCAGGCACCCCAGATAAGCCTGCACCAGTTAATCAAAATCAGCTGGCTCCCTCAGAGCTGAGGACTACTCAGCTCTGCCCCATCCATCAGGTCCCATCCCTCCCCCTTGGCTCCAGTCTGTGGAGCCCTTTGGTGAGCCTCCAGCCTCACCGAAGAGCAGGTTGAGCAGCACCTCCCTGGCTGCTGAGCTGTCGCTCTGGCAGAGCCCGTAGAAGGTGCCCAGCAGCCAGGGGATGCCATGCCCCGAAACCTCAATGACCTTCATGAGGGGACGTGCGCTGCCCCAGGCCGAGCCCTCTCCAGCGCAGACGCCCAGGCGCTTGGAGGCCCAGAGGTCGATGGCAAGCAGGGAGCTGAGGGCGATGCCCAGGAAGGAGGGGTTCAGCTTCATGCAGTCCTCCTCGGGCAGCGGGGCTGCCGCGGAGCCGCCCGACTCCTTGCGGCGTGAGG